ATGAAACCCCAGTGTTCAAATTATATATAAGCTGCCATGCTTGTAATTTCATCAACATTTTTATTTCTAAATACTCCTCAAAGCATTCACATAGACATAGTCTGCAGGAGATTCATGAGGAGAGACAAAATAGTATGAAACAAAAATTAGAGCAACATATTTAGGATTCCGCGTGCCACCAAAATGATGCCAGAATTGCGAGAAAACCTTGTTGGGATAGAAGATTAATATTTTTTATTGTCATTCTTTTTGTTTCGTGAACTGTTTGATGCGAGTAAAGTTGTGCCTGAGACACCATGCATTTCCTTTTTATTTTCTTAAATGATGTTCCTGTGCATGATTATTATCTGTACCTTGGCACGGGAGACATTTCAAATAGTAAATTAAACTTTCGAAAGAAGCTCACCCTTATTTATTTCTCTGGCTTACGGTGTTTTACCCCTCTACCCTGTGAACCTCCTTTCCCGTACTGTGCATTGTAGGGCATTTCAGATCCAATTCCTTTGATATTACTTGAATCATTTAACCTAAAGGAACGTCCTGTCTCGTAGATTCTCCGATTGAGATCTCGGTGTCTCGTCGCACGCCATAAACACCCAAGTGAAAGGGTTTGTTAGAGGTCGTTGTTGCGTGTCTCCTTCGCACGCCAATCTCGGAGGGTGGAAAGTCATCAAAGTCTCTCCTTCGGGTAGATTGTACTGATGGAAGACACTCGGCACGGGGATGCGTGTGTGTGTGTGTGTGTGTGTGTGTGTGTGTGTGTGTGCGTGCGTGCGTGTGTGTGTGTGTGTGTGTGTGTGTGTGTGTGTGTGTGTGTGTGTGTGTGTGTGTGTGTGTGTGTGTGTGTGTGTGTGTGTGTGTGTGTGCGTGCGTTGTACGTAAACTATTTATTTAGCTGACCCGGAAACTCGAATGAATGAAACTTTCTTAAAAACTTCTTACTTTTTACTTCTCCCCAGCCAAAGTGCGTTTGACCTTATTGTAATTGAAATACAGTTACATAGAAAACGAGGGACGGTTTTCCTTGCCAAGGATAACTATAATATTAACCATTTACACTCGCGGTTGCCAGATGTCTGTAGCCGAGTATCAAAATGTGTTCAGCTGTCTTCGGCGCGCGTATGATTTTGGGTCGCTGTTAAATGCTACGTTGATTCGTGCTTGTGGGCGGGAGGGAGGGGCAGAGAGGGAGGGAGGGGGAAGGGAGGGGCAGAGAGGGGAGGGAGAAAGGGGGAAGGGAGGGGAAGGGAGGGGAAAAGGGGGGGGGTAGAGAAGGAGAAAAAAGCTTTTTGATAGAATTGAATAAGAGAGGAAGGCAGATGAGAAAGAAATTGATGGAGTAGTTAAGGGAAGGGGGAAGTGGAAGGAGGGAAATAGAGGAAGATTTAGCGAAAATAGAAGAGGAAAAACGTTGGGATTTCGGAAGAGAAAGGAGAGAAAATAAGGGAGAGGAAGAAAGAAAAGAAAAAATAATGGAGGGAAAGGAAATACTTTACATGAATAGCCCACTGCATTTCCTTCTGTAAACACAGAAACTATTTAATCTTGTAAAGGGAAATATTGCTGAGGTTTCCATAATTGTGCGAAATTTCCTATTTCTTTTCGTCGCCATTTAACACGTTACCTACTTGTCGTCTGCTTTAAGTCCTTTGGGTAATTCGTAACTGTTAAAGCATTAGGCAGAATTATTGTCAAGTCCATTAACTAATTTGTTTTTCACCTTCTTGAAAGACGAGCTAATGCAACGAAACATATTTTCTTTCGTGTAAAAACGTTCGTCTCTGGTTAACATAGACTTTTTCTCTCTCTCTTTCTTTCTTTCTTTCTTTCTTTACCTCAAAGGGACGCCGCTTCGTTTGTTAGCATTAAATGAAGTAAACTCTCTCGCCTCACTTTACACCCGAGTCGGGACCATAGTAAAACCCGTCAAAGAAAACGTAACCTCTTTGAGGGCAAACTCAACCAATTTTCGGTAAGTGGTTCAGTCCGTCCCCCCCCTAACTTTGAGGTATTTTTATGACCTTTAAAAGGCACGAAGGAAGAACACAAGGAATGGCGACAGCATGAACCACGAAACGATCTCACACATACTTAAGGCACGGTGTCAGGTGTTGATGTAGCATTCTGTATGGCTGTGTGGGTTGAGAATGACGTGGCGGAATGGGGAAACTCGAGATAGGCATTTGACGCGGGGTTCCGGGGCCGGTCGAGGTGCTGGGGAAAGTGTTTTTAAATTGATGATGGATAGGGGGGTGGGGGGGAAGGTTGGGGAGTGTGTGTTTGGGGGGAGGTCGGTGAGCGTGTGTGGGTGTGTGAGCGTGTGTGTTTGGGGGAGGTGTGTGAGCGTTTGTGCTTGTGTGAGTGTGTGTGTGTGGATGGGTGGGTATGAGTGAGTGAGAGACAGATAGACAGACAGACAAAGAATGAGGAACGAGTGAGATCTAGAAAGAAAGGAAAAAAATAGAAAGAGAAAAAATGACTAAGAGAAAGACACGAAGAGGAAGTAAAGAAATAGAACATTGAAACACCCCCTAATTTACAGGTAAGAATTTCAAGCAGGTGCGAGTAACACGTGGGGCTCGCTGATGACAAGTGACAGTCATGCCATTCTACCACAGGTGACTTGACTGAGGGGGGAGAGGGGGGGGAAATTGACGGAACTGGTTTTCTTAAATATTTGTTCATTTTTTGTGTATTTTATCTTTTTTTGAGGGGAGGGAGTGAGGGAGGAAGGGGGGGGGGGTATATTTGGTGTTGCGAGTTTGTGCTTTTGGGGTTTTCTAAATGTGAAAATTTTATTTTTTTTTTTTTTTTCATATTCTTTTCTTTTTTTTTCTGTTCAAGCGATGCTAATATACATGTATATATGCACATATTTATTTGTGTGTATGAGATATAAACACCTTTATCTATTTGCTTGTATGTGTGTATTTGTATATAGTCTATATATGTGTGTGTTGTGTGCGTGTGTGTGTGTATGTGCGTGTGTGTATGCGTGCGTGCGTTCGTGCCTTTGCTTACGGAATGCGTGCTTTCATTTTCTCTGAAACCAGCGTATTATCTTTCACTCAACCAAATACCAATTTACCAATTAATTCATGACGAGGTTCACCCACCGTGGCGTCACAGGAAGAGTAAACAAATAAATTACCTGGCAGCGTTAATTAGCGGCCGACGCCCTTATTACCTGGCCGATAAGGGGGGGTTTCAAAGCGAATCACCTCGTTAAGGGGGGATGGGGGGGGGGGATGTTATGGCACGGCGTTTGTGTCGGGCGCGGATTTGGGGTGTGGGTCGTGGCGCGTGTCGTGGTTTGGGGGGGGGATGTTTTTGTTTTGTTTTGATTTCTCTGTCTCTTCTCTTCTCTCTCTCTCTCTCTCTCTCTCTCTCTCTCTCTCTCTCTCTCTCTCTTCTCTCTCTCTCTCTCTCTCTCTCTCTCTCACTCTCTCTCTCTCACTCTCTCTCACTCTCACTCTCACTCTCACTCTCGCACTCTCTCTCTATCTCTATCTCTATCTCTATCTCTTCTCTCTCTCTCTCTCTCTCTCTCTCTCTCTCTCTCTCTCTCTCTCTCTCTCTCTCTCCTCTCTCTCTCTCTCTGTCCCTCCCTTCCTCCTCCTTCCCTCCTCCTCCCTCCCTCCTCCTCCCTCCCTCCCTCCCTCCCTCCCTCCTTTCCTCCCCTCTTCATCCCCCCCCCTTCCTCCTTTCCCTCTCCCTCCCCACTCCAGAACGATTAACATACCTCTAAACACAGGAAATGGCACCATTTTAAGTCAACAATGGAAAACGAATATGTCAACCCCCCCCCTTTCATCCTCCCCTTCCCTCTATCCTATCTCCCTGTCCTGTCCCTCCCTAACTGCCTCCCTCCCTCCCCCTTCCTCCTTCTCTGTCTCCCTCCTTCCCTCCTTCTTCCTTGTCTGTCTCGCTCCTTCCTTCCTTCCTCCCCTCCTCTTTCCTTCACCCCTCCCTCCCTCCCACACCTTCCCCCTCCTCCCTCTCTGTCTCCCTCCTTCCCCTCCCTCCTCTCTGTCCTCTCCCTCTCTGTCTCCCTCCCTTCTCCCTTCCCCTCTCTCTCTGTCTCCCCCTCCTTTCCCTCCCTCCCTCCCCCTCTCCCCCTTTGTCCCCCTCCTTCCCCCTCTCCCTTTGTCTCCTCCCTTCCCCCTTCCCCTCTGTCTCCCTCCCTTCCCCTCCCTCCTGTCCCTCCCTCCCCTCCTTCCCCCTTCCCCCCTCTGTCTCCCTGCCCCCAATGCCCCGATAGCGACGGCGTTCGGAGCAGCATGTCATATATGGGCATGGATGAGTGTGGGGGCGAAGATTGGGGGGAGGTGAGGGGGGTTAGGGTTTGACGTCGGGGTGACCATGTGGACATATCCGGAGGTAGGCATAGACATGTGTACACGGATATGACGACATGGATACGTGTGTGTGTGTGTTTGAAGAGGCATACACGCACGTACGCACGCACTCACTTATTTACTTTTAAATACTCACACACGCGCGTACGCACGCATGCACACTCACTCACTCACTCACTCACTCACTCACTCACTCACTCACTCACTCACTCACTCACTCACACACACACACACACACACACACACACACACAACACACACACACACACACACACACACACACACACACACACACACACACACACACACACACACACACCACACACACACACACACACACACACACACACACAACACACACACACACACACACACACACACACACACACACACACACACCACACACACACGACACACACACACACACACACACTGCCCCTCTTCTCCCTCTTACTCAACTCATGTAGGACAACACCCTCTCTAGTGCCCGGTGGGGAGGAGGACGGGGGAGGGGGGAGGGGAAGGGAGGGGAAGGGAACGTCCTTCGCACCCCCTCCTCCCCTCCTCCCCTCCCCTCCCGCGGTCCCTCCTCTCGAAGTCCTTTGGAGCTTCAGTACCTTGCGGGATGCGGGATCGAGCGGAGTGCTTACGGAGGAGGATGGGGTACGCGCGCCGGGATGGGACCGCGGGAGGGTGGCAGCTGTCATCAGGCCGGAGTGGGGGGGGCGACAGCTGTGTTTGGCATTGGTGGCGGTCTACCTGCGGGGCGAGTGGGGCTGTTCTGTGCACCTGTGTGGTGGTTGAGACTCATGTGCACCTGTGTGGTGATTGAGACTCATGTGCACCTGTGGGTGGTTGAGACTCATGTGCACCTGTGTGGGGATTGAGACTCATGTGCACCTGCGTGTGACAACTGGGACCGTTATGCGCACCCGTGTGTGAACAATGAGGCTGTTTTGCGCACCTGTGTATGGCAAAAAAGGCTGTTATGCGCACCTGTGTATGGCAAAAAAGGCTGTTATGTGCACCTGTGTATGACATTTGTACCCTATTATGCACAACTGTGTGTGAGAGCTGAAGGTTGTTATGTGTACATGTGTTACAACCGAGACTGTTATTTATATCTTTGATTTATACGCTGTTTTGCACATTTGTGTGTGACAGGTAAAGACTGTTATGTGTGTCACAATTGTGGCTGTTATGTGCACCTGTGTGACAGCTGTTTCTAGACCATATCCTGCTATGCGTGACAGCTGCGGGTCTTTGCCATGTCCACTAATTGAGAGCAGCGCCCGCGTGTGCACGTGTCTCAAGCCATGTGTACCTGTGTGTGCGAGTGTGAGTGTGTGTGTGTGTGTGTGTGTGTGTGTGTGTGTGTGTGTGTGTGTGTGTGTGTGTGTGTGTGTGTGTGTGTGTGTGTGTGTGTGTGTGTTAACGTTTTCCTAGATGGATCTCCGGAGAGTCAGGGAAATAGGACGATAAGAGAATAATGGAGTTTTCCTAGTACCTGGTTATGGCTACTGTTCTGTTTTTTCTTTCTTTCTTTTTTCTTTCTTTTAACTGGAATTTTTCATATGTTTGTTTAGTATTGTTTCTGTTCATATCGTTACTATTGTTATTAACCTTGTTGTTTCTGTCGTTAGTGGTAGTTTTGTTATTATTTCGTAAATAATTGCTAGTAATATTTGATATCATTGTCTCTCTCACGGATAAAATAGACATTATGAAATTATGAATAAACGATAAATAGATATTATAGAATTACGAATATACAATAAATAGGTATTATAGATAGATATAAAATGATAAAAAGATAATTAAAACTCATGGCAGTCAGTCCTCTTCCGTTTACTCCAATTTGTACTTAGTATTCACCTTCGCGGAAGTACGTTGGGTACGAACGGCGCCGGATAAGGGCATGTTGCACCCTTTCTGTTTTTGGCTTTTGGTGTTTGTTTGTTTTGTTTTTTTGTTTGTTCCTCTCTTTCTCTCTCTCTGTCTTTGCTTTTTCATTTTCTTTCTGTGTTTATTTGTCCGTTCTTTTCTTTTTCTTTTTTCTTTCTGTTTTCTTTCTTCTCTTTCTCTCCTCTTCTCTTCTCTTCTCTCTCCCTCTTTCTCTCCTTCCCACTTATTTTCCTCCTCCTTCTCCCTCTTTCTCTCCTTCCCACTTATTTTCCTCCTCCTCTCCTTCGCACTTATTTTCTCCCTTTCTCTCCTTCGCACTTATTTTCATCCTCCTCTCCTCCTCCCTCCTCCCTCCTCCCTCCTTCTCCCTCGGCATCACTAAAGAGAGGGAGCATCAGTGATACGAACTGCGGTGAGACTGTGGGAAAGAGCTAAAGGGAGGGGGGAGGGGAGGAGGGTAGGAGGGTAGGAAGGTAGGAAGGAGGGAAGGAGGGGGGAGGATAAGGGAGAGGAGGGGAGGGAGGGGAGGGTAAGGAGAGGGTAGGAAGGAGGGAAGGCAGGGGGGAGGACAAGGAGAGGGAGGGGAGAAGGGGAGGGAAGTGAGGGTGGGAGGGAAGGAGGACGAGGCAGAGAAGGAGCTGAGAATTGGTGATTGGTTAACCGCAAGGGGGGAGAGGAGAGGGGGGGGAGGGGTTAGAGGAGAGGCGGAGGTAGATGCAAAAGAGGTGGCGGAGGGAGAGTGAAGGAGGAGAGGGAGGAGATAGAAAAAGGGGAAGAAAGAGAATTCATTGACGATTCATTGATCATTCGCGTGAGTGTTAATGATGACTGTCATGATTCACTTTTTCTCCCTTCTCCTCTCCCCCCCCCATTCGCTCATATCCCTTCCCTTCTCCCTGCCTGTACCTTTTTCCGTACTCTTATCTCCCTTCTCTTCGTCTCTTCTACCTTTCCCTACTCTCCCTCCCATCTCCTCCCATTTCTAATGTCCTCTCCCCTCCTCTATTCTTCCTTCTTCTCGTCTCCCTTGCCCTATTCCACTCTCCCCTTCCCTTCCTTCGTCCTCTCTTATCTCCACTCCTCTTTTCTTTTCTCCTCTCCTCTTCTCTTCTTCCTTTTCCGTTCTTTCTCATCTCCTCTCCTTCTCTCTCTCTCTCCTATCGTCCTTTCTCATCTCTTTTTTCTCCTCATCTCTCCCCTCCCTAACCTTTCTCATTTCTCCTCTTCCCTTCTTTTAACTCCTCTCCTCTCTCCTCCCTCCCCCTTCCTTACCTCCGTTCTCCTCCCCTCCCCTTCCCATTTCGCTCCACACTCCACATTAACCAAAAGCGGAAACACGCACAACGAGTGATGATAATAATAATGATAATAAACCGTTACACTCATAATGTTTCCCGCCAAAATTTGAATATGTAGCAGCTTAGGTTTCCACCCGATGGAAGTTTTTTTTTTTGTTTTATTCCATTGTTTTGTGTTGTTTCTGTCATCATATTTTGTGTTGATTTATGTTATGTTATTTTGTTGTGTGATAAAAGATCAAAACAGAAGAATAAAAGAGACGATAAAAGATAGACAAAGTTACAACAAATTAAAATAGAAACAAACAAACAAAACAAGAAAGAAAAACAAGTAGTAGGAGTGGAGAAGAGAACTAAAGAAAAAAAATACAGCGAGAGACAGAGAGAACCTTCAGAGAACATAACAACGAGAGGGACAAAGCTCTTAAACGACTCCTTGTCACTGGGCACACCTCGCTCTTGATCGGGGGGAGGGGGGGAGGGGGAGAGAAAGGGGAAGGGTGGGGAGGGAAGTTTGGGGAGGGGAGGGGTAAGGGGAAGGTGGGGGAGGGGAGGGGTAAGGGGAAAGGTGGGAGGGGAGGGGAAGGGGGAAAGGTAGGGAAGGGAGGGGTAAGGGGGAGAGGTGGGGAGGGGAGGGGAGGGGGTAAAGGGAAGGGTGGAGTGGGGAGGGGAGGGGTACTGGGAAAGGTGGGGAAGATGGGGGGGGTAAGGAGGATAAGAGGGCAGACAAGTGCTTCAGACGGAGAAAATGCGAAAATGAGACTTGTGTGAAGAGTGTTCTGTCTGTCTGTCTCTCTCTCTCTCTCTCTCTCTCTCTCTCTCTCTCTCTCTCTCTCTCTCTCTCTCTCTCTTCTCTCTCTCTCTCTCTCTCTCTCTCTCTCTCTCTGTTTTATCGACATTTATCTCGAAAGCAGTAACAGGTTCTCACTTAACGACACCAATCCAATTTTTCTTTTTTCCCCTCTTCTTCTTCTTCCTCTTCCTCTTGTTCATCTTCTTCGCCTTTTCTTCCTGTTCCTTCTTCGCCCTTTTTTCCTGTTCATCTTATTCATCTTCTTCGCCTTTTCTTCCTGTTCATCTCTTCGCCCTTTCTCCTGTTCATCTTATTCATCTTCTTCGCCTTTTCTTCTTCTTTGCCTCTTCTTCTTCTTGTTCATCGTGAGACCGGCGCGCATGGCTAACAAAGACAAAACAAAAAAAGTTGCCCGGTAGCATCTTCCTTTGTAGTGGCGGGTTTTTGCGTTGCTTTTGAAATTAGATTTTTAAATCGAGCTTTTCATTCTTTGTTCTTCGTTGGGAATAGTTTTGGTGGTGATTGGTGTTATTGTTTTTATGTGTTTGTGTTTATATGTTGGAGCTATTATCTGTTTTTTTCTTTCAACACACACGTACACACACAAACACGCAATACACATACACACAATTCTCACTCTCAATCACTCTTACACACACGCACACGCTCACACACCACACACACACACACACACACACACACACACACACACACACACACACACACACACACACACACACACACACACACACACACACACACATTCACTCACTCACTCACTCACACATTCCTTCATCTACCTTTCACACATTAATTCACATCTGCTCTTCACCAGTTTCTCTTCCAACGCATCTGTTTCCTTTCCCTCTTCTCGTAACGTAACAGACTATTACTTCATTTGACGTCTATTGAGTCGTTAAAAAAAGGTATTTAACGTTCGATGAAGTTTGGCGGGAAATTGACGCTCTGCGATTCGATTTTGTCTTTATTTGTTTTCGTTTATATTTTTGTATTTTGAGGCGCGTGTATTTGTTTTTGGTTATTTTTGGTTTTGATTTGATTCATTTCCGTTTATTCTGTTATGTTTTTGGAAAGGTTTTCTTATTTTGGAGGTTATTTTTAACGGTTGTGATGTAGAGGAAGAAATGACGATTTGGCATCTCTGGTTCTGACTCTACTGTGCGGGCATCAATAAAATACGTGATTCACTGATGCTGCTCACACGGTTGCTATATTCTCTCTCTCTCTCTCTCTCTCTCTCTCTCTCTCTCTCTCTCTCTCTCTCTCTCTCTCTCTCTCTCTCTCTCTCTCTCTTCTCTCTCTCTCTCTCTCTCTCTCTCTCTCTCTCTCTCTCTCACTCTTACATTCTTACTCACTCTCTTTCTCTATCTTCCTCTTTCTTTGTCTCTCTCTTTCCTTCCTCCTTTCCTTCCTCCTCCTCCTCCTCTTATCCTCCTCCTCCTCCTCTCCTCCTCCTCTCCTCCTCCTCCTCTCCTCCCTCCTCCTCCTCCTCCTCTCCTCTCCTCCTCCTCCTCCTCCTCCTCCTCCTCCTCCTTTTCTCCTCTTCCTCCTCCCGTGCGGTGTCTTTGATTACATATTTCCGCGTTATTTTTTTATTGTATCTCTCAGCACCTCACCCCCTCATACATCACATCAGAAATTTCCTGAGTCAAAAAATGCTACTTTTTATTATGAGGATTATACCGAGAGGGAGAGTGAGAAAAGAGAAAAAAGAAAGAAAGAAAGAAATAGAGGGAGAGGGAAAGGGAGGGAGATGATGGAGAAGGAGATCGAGGGAAGATAGAGGAAGAGAGAGAATGATAAAGAGATAGAGAAAGAAAGGGTGAGCGAAAGAGAAAAAAAGAGAAAGGAAGAGAAAAAGAAAGAAGGGAAGAGAAAGGAAGAGACACCGCACACACGTCCTAGTTAGCAAACCCCTTAATGCCGATTCCGCGCCGGTGCACTATGGAAATGAGTTTATTCCGGCCGGTGATAACGAGACGAGTCGGCCATGTTTAGTCACGTGACCTCTTGATGGTAGGAGGTCGTGTTGCCATACATGCTGATCTTTTTTTTTTTTCTTCTTTTTTTTTGGTGTTATTGTTACCGTTCTTTGATTGTTTGCTCTTTCATGTGTGAAGTGGGTATTTTGAGGATTATCTTTCATTGTTTTGTTTGTTTAATTGGAGGCGTGTTTAGTCTGCGTTTGTTTGTGTTTTTAGATTAGGTAAGAATATAAACTTCGAGATAGACGATAATCACACATGAATTATAAATAGATTCTGATGTATTCACACGCATAAAACACATCGGATTTTTTATGGTAGAAAATTGTGATATCATTTACATACTTCGCTCGTCCACCCTGCAGTCACAACCTAATTAGCATATCCGTGTTCCTGTATATGTGTGTGTGTGTGTGTGCGTGCGTTTGTGTGTATGTGTGCGTGTGTACGTTTCAGCCCTCGCGTGCCTCAGTGTCGTGAAAACAGTGCATGAAATATCGTGTCAACAGGAGTCTGGAAAGTGCGTATTTGAGGAGCGCGCGGTGAGGACGAGAAGAGAAATAGAACTCGTGATAAACTGAAACCGGAAGGAAAACAGGAATAAATATGTGAAAAGGAGGAAAAAGGACGAAAGATAATTAAAGAAAATAGAAGACCTGAAAAAAGAAACAAACCGAAAGAAGAGAAACATTAAAACTCTGTAGATAAAAAAATGGTGAACATCAGCGCCAATTTCTCCCCTGGCGGCACCCAGAGGAACTACAAAGGACTGACCAGCTACCGCCTGCTTGCCAATGGGCGTGAGAAATACGGGCGTGGGGGTAGGGGCGTGGGCGGCCAGGTGTACAGTCGGAAAATCATGTTCGTGCAGCCCGCCCCCCAGACCGTCAAATTCCCCTTCAACCCAGCGGATTACACCTACACCTATTTCAACTGGCCGCCATGGTACCAGGTGTGTGTGCGTGCGTGCGTGTGTGTATGTGCGTGTGCGTGTGTGTGTGTGTGTGTATGTGTGTGTGTGTGTGTGTGAAGAGAGAGGGAGAAGGAGAGAGAGAGAAAGAAGAGAGAGAGAGAGAGAGAGAGAGAGAGAGAGAGAGAGAGAAAGGGAAATGGAAAATAGAAGGGAAAAGGAAGAGAGGGAGAGAAGGACAGACTAACTAGCAGACAAGAGAGGAGAAGGCACATACTCCCCTCATAGAAATTCTCATAAGTCATAGATCAACATAGAAGCATAGCAACATATACTCCGCCTTGTCCTCGTCTGCTTTTGCGCTTCTCTCCTCCATCTCTCTCTCTTTCCTCCCCTCCCTCCTCCCTCCATATCTCCATCTTTCTCCCTCCCTCTCGTCGCATCCCGGGGGGGGGGGTCTCGCTTTAATGGTTTGAATAAGTTGATTATTTGGTGTCTCGGGAGAGGCTTCGCTGAGGTCATGGGAAAGGTTGCTGCACACACACACACGCACACGAACACACACACATACATACATTCACACATGCACACTCGCACACTCACACCACACACGCTCACGCTCGCACACACACACACACACACACACACACACACACACACACACACACACACACACACACACACACACACACACACACACACACACACACACACACACATATACACACACATACACACACATACACCACAAACAGCAAGTTTCCCACCCTGTCTCCCTTTACGTACAAACAAACACAAACAGTGTCAACATCCCCAAAATAAACCATTTATTTATGGACCGTTTAAACTCCTTTTGTGCAACTCTTATGTAAACTTCAAAAGATTTCGTTAGGGGAAGGATACGAGACCATCGCGTGACGTCACACAGCGTGAGTCACAACAACGAACAGGATTTTCACTTTTTTTCTCTCTCTCACTCTTTCCCTTCTCTCTCGCTGTCATGTCTTCACTTGAGGCATGATTGCTTAATTAATTAATTTCTTGATGATAGAGTTTTCGGAAGGTTTCCCAACTGGACGCGCTTCTGTTTGGACCTTTTTTTAGGGTTTGCGTTTTCTATGATGGCTGAGGGTCTGCCCGTTTTCTGTTGGGGCGCGAGTTCGGTTTGTTTTTTGTGTGATAAGCGAGCGAAACATGATAAAAGACGAAAATTTGGGTAGATAGATTGCTTGTGTTGATGATGCTGGTGATAGTGGTGATAGTAATATTGTCAGTTAAGAGGATAATGGTAGGAATGATAATAATAATGACGGTGATGCTGATGATGATTATAATAATGGTACCACTTTTGGTGCTACTTATACTGGTAGTTCTACTACTACTACTATTACTACTACTACTACTTACTACTACACTACGACTACTACGACTACTACTACTACTACTACTGCTGCTATTACTATGACTACTACTACTACTACTACTATTACTGCTATTACTACTACGACTACTACTTCTACTACTACTACTACTACTCCTATTACTACTACTGTTACTACTATTACAACATCGGCAACTGCTACTATTACCCCTACTATTGTCACTATGATTGCAAAAATGATGATAACTAATAAAAACGTCATAATACATACAACTCTAAGATTATGAAATTTCGAAACAAGAAAACATCATCGTTCAAAAAGAAAAGAAAAGAAAAAGAAAATAACGAAATCAGATTTAACTTAGATAAATAACCAATGACAATCGACCTCCCCCTCCCTCCCCCACCCCCTGCAGGCACCAGGTGTGGCATCCTCCTCGTCTGTCACTGTATGATTGACACACACTTATGCCAGGAAGTGATCCGTCTCACTTGGACCAGCGTTCAAGCGTGCATGTCTGCTGAGGTCCTGCTGTGCATTTTGTACTGTACATCCCTCCGGTCGTGCAGTCGTTGGTCATGCATTTTGGTCATGCAGGTTTGGCCATGTTGTTTTGGTCATGGAATCTTTGGCCATGCAGTTTTTGTCATGTAGGTTTTGGTCATGCAGTTTAGTATGCAGTCTTTGGTCATACAGTATTTGGTCATGGAATCTTTGGTCATGCAGTGTGTGTGTTGTGATGTATAAGGTGTGTCTTCGGGATGAATGTGTGTCTGGATTTGCATGGCGTTTGCTTTTCATTCACAGTATATTCAGTTCTTTAAAACGTGCAATGTTGTAGAATATTCTTAATTCTGAAGAAAACGAGAAAGAAAGAGGTTAAAATAGAATAAAAGTTAAATTAAATAAATTATTGTAATGAGATGATAGTGAAAATGAAGTTGGATCTTAATGTACACATAAATGCTGGTGAAGTCAGCCCTTACACGAACGGGGAGGCGGGAGAATGCGGATCTCTGTGGATATCTGCAGCTTCAGGTTGCTTACAAGAACGCATCTCTCTGCACAAACGCTGTTTTGTGAATCCGTAATAGGCGTTGATGGCAAAAACGGTCTCTTTTCTTGACAGGTTGACGGGTGGAGTGCCAAGGCTTTTTTTAGGAGGGGGAAGGGGGATAGTAAAGTTAAAGAATAAGAAGGGGAGGTTTGATAAAGAGGAAGAAGGGATATGGATAAATTGGAGAGAGAGAATGAGAGAGAGAGAGAGGAAAGAAGTCAGACGGCGAGAGAGGTGCGGCGCATTGAAAGGGATGTGGAAGAGAAAGAGAGAGGAGAGAGAGAGAGAGAGGGAGGAGAGAGAGGGAGAGAGAGGGAAAGAGAACTGAGAGAGGTGAAAGAAAAGAGAAAGTGGGAGAAGGGAGAGAAAGACAGAAAGAGAGAGACACTGCAGACATCTAGCCAGAGCACCAATCTTTATAACGAAGACAGACAGGCAAATGATATCAGATGAAAGAGGAGTAAAGGGAAATAGAAATAACTTGTAGATAAGCAGACGAAAGGGCAAGCAGGCAGCAGGAGCCAGCAGCTGAGTACAAGGACAGAGGTTTATTTATTTATTTTATTTTATTGTGGTCGAGACGGGGAACGTGGTGTGTGTGTGAGTTTGAGAGACAGACAGACAGCCAGACAGAGAGAGGGGGGGGGGGGTAGAAAAAGAAAAAGAGAGAGACAGAGACAGACAAAGGGAGAGGGAGAGGAAAAGGGATAGAGAGAAGGAGACACGAGACAGACAAAAGGAGAGGGAGAGGAAAAGGGAAAGAGAGGAGACAGAGACAAAGGGGATGAGAGAAATAGAAACAGTGAATGAGGGAGAGAGAGAGATAAACAATGAAAAGATACATTTACTTAGAAACAAATCTAAAAAAAGAAAATATTTTGAGAATCGAATCTCCAAAGAGACAGATACAGACAGACGGAGACACGGTGACTCAGGATGAGAGAACGTAAATTCAGACATATAGAGAACGCGCTAAAAAGTCGACGCCTTGAGATTTTTTTTTTTTTTTTTTTTTTTTTTTTTTTTTTTTTTTTTTTTTTTTAGGGATGGGGGGGGGGGGGCGGGGGCTTGTGACTTCTGACGTGTCTAAGGATTTCTTTAACGCACGTATCGCACTCCTTATCTGACTTCACATTCCATAAAGTCTTCTCTCTCTCCTCCTTTCTCTCCCTCCTCCCTTCACCCCCTCTTACCCTTTCTCCCTTCCCTCCTCCTCTTCTCACCTCAGTCCCTTCCCTCTATCCCCCCCCCCTTCCCTCCCTCTCTTGTCTCACCTTCTAGTCCTTCTCCC